CTTCCTGTCACACACAGACACGCTGAAGCCCCGCCCACTCTGCTGCGGAAGCCCCGCCCCTGCAGCAGAAGCCCCGCCCACCTTGAAGTAGTCCCCGAAGGACCAGCTGCCCAGCATCTCGAAGAAGGTGTGGTGCGTCCCGTCGCGCCCCACGTCCTCCAGGTCGTTGTGTTTCCCTCCGGCCCGCACGCAGCGCTGGCTGTTGGCCACGCGGCGCCACAGCGCCATCTGGCTGCGGGGGTCCACCGTGCCCAGCAGCACCGGCTTGAACTGAATCAGAACCAGAACCGGTTAGGACTGGAGCAGAACCAGGGCCAGTTAGTTACAACTGTTCCTCATCACAACCAGAACCAGGGCCACCTCCGTCAGGACGGTTCTTTTAGAGTTCTGGTCCAGGGGTGGTATCATCCGGTTCTGGTTCTTTGGGCCTGATTCCCTGCAGATTCTGGATGAATCCCTGCTGAACTGGACCAGAACCAGAGGCATCTATCCGTGATTCAGTCTTCTCCTGAGCTGAACCAAACTGGACCGATCGGAACCGATAAGGTTATTTTCTGGTATCACTTCTTATATTTGGTTCTGATGTTTCTGACCCAGCTACAGGACAATTAAACAGTTTCGTGCAGAACTGTGTCAAACATACGTCTCGTTCATCCTGACTGGACCGAACCGGACCAAAACACGCAGAACAAGACTGACCTGGTTCATTCCAGCGTTCACGAACAGCAGGCTGGGATCTCCTCTGGGCCGAACCGGAGCGGACGGAACCAGCAGATGTTGGTGTTGATCCCGGAAGAAGTCCAGAAAGGTTCGACGGACCTGCGCGGCGGGCAGGCCGCTGAAGGAGCGCTCCGAGGCGGCGGAGAGCCGCCGCAGCCTCCGGAGCAGCAGGCGCATCATCTGGATCACAGCGACACCGAACCAGGTCGAACCAGAACCACGCACAGCCTCAAGGACTACAGGCGGCTTCCCGGGGCAGGCGCACTGCGACGCAGTTGTTCTTCTACCTCAGACAATTTGAACAGTCAGCGCTGCAGCGGCGCCTGCTGTCAGGGTGAAGCTACTACAGCTTAAAGAAACTGACAGGTTCGGCTCGGTTCTGCTAGAATTTACAAGGTCAGGATTTGCCGCTCAGTCATCTAGAGGTTGAGTGATCCAGAAATAATAATGATAAACTTTTAAAATATTAATATTCATCCCGTGACATCTGAGCTATTGATTGATTGATAAGTCTGGAACCGGATTTATTCTATGAATAAACGAAACTGAATTGTAACTAAACTGAACCTGAATTGAATCATCAAGAACTTCATGAAGCTTGAGTGTCTTTTGGTTCTGGGTTAGAGTTGCCACCTTTCAGAAATCAAAATAAGGGACGTCCACCACGGCGTGCCACCCTATTCTCGTGGGGTGGGATGGCCGCTGCAGCTGTGGACAATATTTATGGCAGTGCTTTTTGTTTTTAAGAAGTGATCCAGAGGGGGCGCTGTGGGGGCGCAAAGCACAACCCACATATTGAGGCCTTAGTTAATGTGGCGGTGGTCGCAGGCAGCATGTCTTCCCCCCTCTCATTACCCACTTTCCTGTCAAACTACTTCCAAATAAAGGCAACTATAGCCAACAAAACCTTCAAAAACCAACAGTGATCCAGAGAGCAATCATTCATACTTAGAGTACTCCAAAATTGTACTCCAATCAGAGCAGCACACTTTAAACAC